AAAAAAAAATAAGAGTACATGAAAGACAGTAAAAGATGGTTAAATGTTTAGGAAGGCCCATTATCCAGATCAGGTACACAGAAGAATCAGAAATTCATGCCACTATTGTAAGCACAAAATATTTCTGCTATGTTGATTGTACCTATTTAGAAAAATCAAACTTTCATAAAGTTTCAACGAATTAACTCTATTCAGTGGGGTAAACTGTATTACATATCATGATTTCTTTAGAAAGGCAGCTTAATTTTATTTTTAGGAAAGACAAATCAGAAGAAAAAGAATGATTCACTCTAGTTGTAGATTTTCAGGCATCACAGTAGAACTTCTAAAGTATTTTGGTGTTCCAAATTCAAGCACCAGGGCACTGTTCACGTTACTCAAAATGATAGCGATTTCTTGAACAACACTGAGTACATTGACTTCAAATGAAAAGAGTTCATTGGAAATATGACAGTCCTATATCATCTGAGAGATGCCTTCTATATTGTTCTGGCTGCTTTTCTATGGTCCTGCTGTTTAGCTGATGAATAAACATGCTACTTACTACACATTCCCTAGTCTTAAATGATTCTCTATCAAGCTTTTGATGCTTTAAGGAACTCTACGTGTCAACTTTTGAGTTTTGTGTTTCTGGAAGTATTTCCACAGGATCCAAAAATGAATATTCAACACAATTAAGAAGCCAGGTATGGAGGCTCACACCTGTAATCTCAGCACTTAGGAGAAACAGGCAAGACAACCAATCAACCACACACACACAGACAAACACACAAACACACACACTCACACACACACACTCACCCGCACGCATACATGCTTGCACCAAGTACAATTATGGCAAGTGAGACTATTTTCTTTCTTAGTGCAGTAACATTAACAAAGGCTATATTATTATACAGTACATAATTCATCTTGATAGAACTGAGAACTTTAATTAAAATTAGATGAAACATCATGATTTGTCACTTTACCTTATATTTGAGTTTTCTTTCAGGTCACTACACAATAATTACAGAAATTCAAAAAAAAAAATAAAATATTAAGTAATGTAGAATTCATTAACTATACCAATATGTCTTACTTTCCCAATTAACTTTTTTTAATAATCCTATATAGGAGACTTCCAGGTCCTTCTCCTGGTCCAGGAAGCCAATATTTATAATCCCAAAGTTACGTTATTGGACTCCCATCAAGTTGATTCCAATCTACCACTTTCAATGCAACCCACGGCAAAAACAAAGACACTAAACTATATTTTCTATCACTGGGGAGTCAAGGGGCTCCAAGTCCAGCCACGGAGATGGTTTTCTGGAACCAAGAGAGCGACCCAGGGCCTCACCCAGTTTTATTCAGTGGGGGAGTGGCTTGAGGATTGACAGAGAATTGTGGGAAACAGACTAGTATGAGCTGAGCTAGGTGTGTGGCCTAAATTTACCTCTGCGCGATATGCAGGGAAGATATGCAGAGAGAGTAATTTGCATTATATAGTATCTAATGTTTTGGTAAGTCTGGTGCTTCAGCTTTGATGTAGCCTTTCAAGCCCCAGGAAATCATAGCCTCTGTCTCTACGCTCGATCCCAGCTGGCAGCGCAGAGCATTAGCTCTACCGTCCTGTCTCCACCTAGCTCACATTAAAGAGCAGCAAGTATAGGTTACCAGGGAAACACGCACGCCACCTTCAAAGACTATCACCAGCAGCTCAGCTAGACAAATATACATTGATTAAGGCCAATTGAAGGATAAACAGAAGTCCTAGCCAGCTCTGTACATAATAATACAAGAAAATAGGGTGAGGCTCAGTCAAAATGGAGACAGTCACTCTTCTTTCAAGGAGAGCTGCTCAGGTGGTCCTCCACAATCCTATATAATTTCTACAAACCAATAAAAGAGAAAAACTACTTACTGGAAAGGACTGTTGTAAGAAAAATGTAGTCTGAGAAGGATATGAGCCCACATTCTCCAAGGGTATAAAATATACTGCCTTCATCAGCAAATTTTTCTCGTTCCTGGGAAATTTTCTGTTAAACATACAGGTTTCAACAAAAGATAGAAAGGCATAATTAAATTAAAATATAAATAGTAAAGAATAATCATCATTTAACTCACAATTTTATGTTATTTATCCTAAGCATTTCTGATGGCCATTCCAAAACAAACAAACAACAA